TATGGGGCGGACCGGCGGCGGTGGAGGAGGACAAGCACGGACTTGTCACCCACCGACCGTCAAGGTCCGACTTCCCGCTTATTCTAAGGTAACGTTCGCTAATTACCTTAGAAGCAGCACCGAGCGCGGGTTGAGGACGCGCGCGGTACGCCCACGAGCCGGCTCCGCATCCGCCCGTCGGTACTGTATCGTTACCCAGTACCGCGCCGGGGCGTCGAGGCGTCGAACCGCTCGCGCGTACCGGCGTCCTCCCCGTTCCCGCTCTACCACGCTACCCGGGCCCGCTGCCCGGTGCCGTAGGCTGGTGTCCCGCTTCACCCCCGTCTTCCCGATCGACAAGGGTCTCGGTCGAACTGTGCATACACCCCTATCGCTGGGGGTGTTTATGCTACAGTGGTCTCCTGACCTAGAAGACCCTGGAGTCCGATCTCCGAGAAGACTTCCGCTTCCCTCCGCGAACCGATCGCGTTGAGATGAGCCAAGAGTTTGAGCCCTCGATCCGCTCCGAAGTGGCGGATCTGAGTCCGGCCGCTGTGCAGTCCCCATCCGCCCCGTCGGGCGACGGCGACGCAGGTCCTCGTGACCGCGAACCGTCGCTCGGACCCTCCGAGGAAAGAGCGGCGGCGATGTTCGAACGCATAGCCGAATACATCGAGGAAGTCCGTACCTCCCTTCGGATCGATGTATCGGACCATGTATACACTCGATGTATGGCCGAACTCCGCTCCCTGCGTGAAGAGAAGTTCGATAGAGTGACGCAGTCCTTAGAGAATCTCCGAGCACTGATCGACGAGTTACACTCGCGGATAGTGCTCGTCGAAGACTCCCGTTTCGCCTCGCCCGGACCGTCCGGGCAAGGTCGCCCTGAGAGGCCGACCTCGGTGAGACGACCCGAGGACCAAACCTCTCCGTCCGCAGAGCAATTGGGTGCGTTCGCGCACCTCTCCGCTGAGCCCAACGCCACTCGTCGGCGTGCTCGTGACATGGAACGTACCATGGCCGAAGGGCTACCCGGTGCCCCCTCGAGATGGCCCGGCGGTACCGTGCCTCCGAGCGCCGCCGCCCCCGAAGGTTGGCGTCCGACTGGTGCCGCTACCAGTCGGACTGCAGAATGAAGTCGTCGTCCGATAGACGCGAACTTTGCGTCTGAGACCCGAGCCTTGCCGCCTATCGCCGGAAGTAGGCGGCAAGTGGACCGCGTATCGTACGCGGACGAACAGGACCGTGGAGGAGCCGCCTGCGGATCCGGAGAACCGATGTTCTCCGTCGATCCCCGATGGGGTGGCTACCCGCCGGCGAGTTACGCCGAGCATCCAGGTCTGGTAGTCGTCCGTACGCTACCGGTTACCTCCTTGGCACGCTGGGTCCCGCTGAACCCGGGCTCGAGCCGGGACATACGATGATCCGAGAGTTCAGCGCCGTTGCTGACTATCGTATGTACCGCTTGGATAACACCTCGAGGCTCGTTACCTCGGGTGACGCGGGACGGATCGCGAAGTACGTCCAACGCTGTCGTGGGATCCGTCCCACGATGCGCAGCTTCGACGGTACCGACCCGATCCAGCTGCTGCCGTTTTTGAAGGATATCCGAATCACCTTCAACTCGCAACACCTGACCGAAGGTGTTGCGGTACGAGTCCTCGCTCACTTCCTCGAGCGCGACGCGGAGCGCCTGTATACGAGTTATACGATGCGTGGCCTCCGCGCCGGCCAGCTCCATGATGACGTGAGCTGGCCGGGGCTCGTGAATCAATTCTTAAAACGCTACCTCACGGACGACGTGTTAGGTGAAGCGTACGACGCTGTCGCTACGGCGCGACAGCAATCGCATGAGACGGAAAGCACGTTTGCTGACCGACTCGAGACTGCCGCGTTCCGATGCACGGCAGTCTTCTCCGAACAGTCCCTCGCGCACTACTTCGTGCGGGGACTTGCACCGGCAACCCGTGCCGCAGTATTCGAAAATGTGCAAAGGCTGCCAGGCAGTCAGAAGACCGATCTTCCGACCATCCGCCGTATCGCCACGGCGGAAGGTACAACGTACCGCGCTCGGCGCGGTTTATCTCTGCCGGATTCGAAACCGGCAAGGAGAGCTGGCAGGACTACGAAGTCCGCCGCGACAAGTTCGCCCGCCTCGACCCTCCATATCGGGGAGGATGAGTGGCAGGCCGACCCTGTCCTCATTAGGCAAGGAGCAGGGCCCGTGGGGGCACGAACCCCCTCACCGATGTCGACCGGAACGACATCGAGTTACGCGACCGCGTTCGCAGCCACTCCAAGAGTGGCAAGGGATACGGACCCCCGGGTCGCAGAGCTCGACATCTCGAACCGAGATGCAGGAGGCCGAGCGCCTCGCGTGCCCCTCCTCACCGATGAGGACGCGCGGCACGCGGCGACCTTCGCCTCAACGGACGGCAGCGCGTACGTGTGCTGGCTATGCCGTACGTACGGGCATGCCATGTACGCGTGCCCGTTCCTGTCGCCGGAACAACGAATGTTCACGGCGTACAGGAACTACCGCTACCAGATGGAGACGCGCCCCGGTGCGCGTAATCTCCTCCGGCAAGCGGCGGGCGAGGGCCGTCCCCCGCGTCAAGGTTTCCCGAACCGATCGGGTGGGGGCGCACGCTTCGCCCCCCGTGGAGGCGGGTACCGTCGTAACGAAGTCGATCGTCGGGATCGACCCGCCTACCGGCAGGCGGACACAAGGTACCCCCGTCAAGGAGAAAGAGGGGACCGAGACCGTTCTCGGTTACCCCAACAGGTACAAAATGCGATAATGTACCTGCAAGACTGGGTAGAGGATCCTTACCCTCTACCCACGGAGGGTCACGAAGGGGAGCCGACTCGCTTCGTCCCCCATATCCTGCGACGACCGGACGCCGCAGGTCAAGGCCCGGAAGTACCCGAATACTTCGCCAGGCCGCTGAGCCGCAGTGGGGGAATCGTGCCGACCCACGCGGACGGCTACCCGAAGAAGACCTGGCCGTCGATAGCCAGGAGGTTAGCTCCGATAGCACAGGTAGTTCGAAAAAAGGGTAAAGACGGTTACGTACACGCGGTCGCGTGAGCCGTCTTTTCCCCACGAACTAGACCCGACCCCGCGTGCTCGCCAAGGACACGAGGGGTATTGTCCGATAATACATCCCCCGCCTCCGGAGGCGAGCACGGGAGCTCCTGTAATGCCGATACCGGAGGGAGCGCACGTCGAGGCCTCCGGAGGCCCGACGTTAAGTGAACAAGGCACGGGGACAGCCGACGTCCCGGTGAGGCGTAACGATGGCGACGGGGGCAACGACGACCGAAAAGATTCGGTCGACCCCCTGACTCCCGCGAGCCCAAGGTCTCCGGAGAAAGGTCCGTGTCGTACGGACTCGAGTAATCCGTGGGGCGTCACTGATCCGCGGACGCCCCAAGGAAGGGGGAGAAGGACACGCAAGCGGGGCCAGCACCGAAATCGAAGGCCCCGGCGGAACGACCTCACCGATAAGGTCGCCCCGAAGGTTGTTGCCGGCGTCATTTGCCTTATGACGTCGAAGATCTACAACGTCCTCGGCTCGATAGCCACAGAGGGAAATGCATTTAAACCCCGCACGATCGCCGTTGATACGTGCTCCGGGTATAATCTGATGAGGAGGGCCGACCTTCCCCCCGATTGGACGCGTTACGTCGTGCACGACGCACCTCTGCCACGACTGGCAGGCGCGAATAGCAACCCCCTCAAGCTTTCCGCCGTCGTCCGCCTGGCCGTGCGGTTGAGGAACACGGTGTTCCGAATTCCGTTCGTAGTCGCAGACCAGCTCGCCGTGTCGGTCCTCCTCGGCACGGCCTTCATTGATACGCACGTGCCATGTATCGACATCGAAGCTCAACGAATGGAGCTACGCCAAGGCGGTTCCGTCGCCATCGTCGACGGAAAGGGGGAGTCGACTCCCCCTACCAGGCGACACGGGCGACACACGGGTCGGCCAGACGCACGCGAGGAGGCCCCGCAAGCGATCCGAATCGCCCGCTGGGTTACCATCCCCGCGATCTCACAAGCCCACGTGCGTGTGACAACCGCGGGGAGGGGCCTCGTGTTCCTGGAACCCAAGCCCTCACTCCAACACCGACATGGAGTGAGGCTGACGAATGGTGTCGCGGAGGTCCTACCGAATCAGACCTTCGACGTCATCGTCGCGAATTTCTCACGACGAGAAAAGAGGCTTCCGAAGCACACCGTCGTGGGATACGCGAAGCGCAACCCCCTCGCGATCCTCACTCCCGAACGTAAGGTCGCCGAGGGGATCGCGCACGCGCTACACCTGACCGACTGGACCGATCAAGTCGGTGGGGTTGGAGTTGGCCGACCCAACTCCGACGATAAGACCACCGCCGGGGGCAGGGGGGTCGACCCGGACGAACGGTCACCTTTATGCCAACCGACGGCGAGGAGTACTGTACTCCACCAGCAAAAGAATCCCGAAAATCCACCGATGGATTGGGAAAAAGAGATCGACTTGTCATACATCGACGATTACAAGCTCCGTGGCCACGTACTCGAGATGCTCCGTAAGCACTCGAGTCTGTGGAGCGGTGCGCTTGGAACGATCCAAGCCACGGAGCACCGCATTCCCCTCGAACCGGGAACGAAACCGATTCGTTCTATGCCCTATCAGAAGGGCCCGGCCATGCGCGAAATGGTCGCGAAGGAGGTGAACAAGATGTTGAACGCAGGGGTTATCGAACCCGCGAGCACCGAGTGGGCGTCCCCCGTGGTGCTCGTACCGAAGAAAGACGGCTCTCTTCGGTTCTGCGTGGACTACCGGCGTCTCAACGCAAAGACGGCAGCGGATTCGTATCCGCTGCCACGGATGGACGACTGCATCGACTCGTTAGGAGATGCAGCCGTCTTCACCACGTTGGACTTAAATTCCGGCTATTGGCAGATCCCGGTCGCTCCGGAACACCGGGATAAGACCACGTTTACGACGCACATGGGCACGTTTCGCCACTTGCGCATGCGGTTTGGACTCAAAGGGGCACCGGCCACCTTCCAACGTGCGCTCGACATAATACTCTCCGGAGTCCGCTGGCAAATATGCCTCGTCTATCTCGACGACGTGATCGTGTTCTCCCGTACGCACGCACGCGAGGCATCTCGATACCGTCTTGAGCTTACTGCGGAGTTCCGGTATCTCCCTTAAGCTCAAGAAGTGCAGCTTCTTCCGACCGAAGGTGCACTACCTGGGGCACGTCATCTCCCCAGGCAAGTTGAGCGTGGCTGATACGGCGGCCGACGCTTTCAAGACGTTCACGTTCCCGAGGACGTTGACGCAAGTGCGCTCGTTCCTCGGGGCGTGTAACGTATACCGCCGATTCGTTAAGGGGTTCGCTAAGATTGCGCGTCCTCTGACCGACATGACGCGCAAGGATTTGGATCCCGATTTCTATAACCTCACGGAGCTGCAAATTCAGGCGTTCGAGAACCTTAAGAAGTGCATAATCGCTCCGCCGATCCTCGCGTTGCCCCGGCACGGTCGTCCGTACATGATAGACACCGACGCGAGTGATTACCAACTCGGCTGCACCTTACTTCAGGGGCACGAAGAGCCGAACGACTGGCGCCCCGTGGGGTATTGATCGTACTCACTGTCCGATAGTGAGCGCAACTACAGCGCTACCGAACGCGAGTGCTTCGCCGTAGTGTGGGCCCTCCGCACACTACGGCCGTACGTAGAGGGCACGAAGTTCACCGTACGGACGGACCATGACGCCCTCCGATGGCTCATGTCACTCACCAAGAGTTCCGGAAGACTCACCCGGTGGCGGCTACGTCTGGCTGAATACGATTTCACCATTCAGTACCGCCCCGGACGCGTGCATCAGGTGCCCGATGCCCTGTCACGACTCGTGTCGCCGAAAGTCGCCGATGACCCTCGCCCCACCGTCGAGGTGGATGACGACATCCCCACTTTCGACGGGGGCACGACAGTTCGAGACGTATCGAACGAGCTCGCGGACCACGCTTGTACCGCCAGTTGTGATCATCAGGCCGTCCATGTCTTCGTAACGACACGGAAACAAGCCGAAGCCCGAACAAGGTCGCGCACGGACGCGCGACGAACCGAGAGGCGACGACGAAGCCCCCGCTCTCCAAGGACCCAATTCGTTTTGGGAGGAGAACGACGAGTTCGACGCCGCCGACATCCAGCGCGCCGAAGACCCCGAGGCTGGCGTGCTCGACGCCCCGGTCGCCCCACCGCTGGACGACCTTCCGGCCCCTCTTACGATAGAGGAGATAGTCGAGGAGCAACGCGTGGATGAGTTCTGCCAAACCGTTTTGGCACGACAGTCAGAGTCCGGGGACTCCGTGTTCTTCGAGGACCACCAAGGGGTGCTCAAACGGAGACACCCCTTCGACCCTGATATCGTTCAGGTGGTGGTACCTCGGACGCTTCGCGCCAGGCTCCTTCGCCTGTGCCACAACCCGGCTATCGCGGGGCACCCGGGCCAGAACCGTATGTACTACGCACTTCGACGCGAGTACTACTGGCCCCACCTGGCTGCAGACGTAGCAGCCACGGTGCGAGGGTGTCGAACCAGCGCGATGAACCGGGTCAAGCTGAGGAAACATCTCAACCGATTGAGGTTGTTTCCAGCTACGAGGCCCCTCCAGAGCCTCGCAATCGACATCTTGGGGCCGCTCCCCAAGACGAAGACAGGAAAACGATTCCTGCTCGTGATTACGGACCGCTTCAGTAAGCTGACGCAAGTCGTTGCGCTCCGCACGATAACCGCATACACCGTGGCGGTTGCGTTCTGCGAATCGTGGGTGTTTAAGTACGGCGTCCGGCCCACGTTGCTGTCCGATAACGGACCGCAGTTTAACGCCAAGTTCTTCCACAGCACGTGCCCCACGTTCTGGGGATAACGAATTTGTACACTTCGGCGTACCATCCCCAAACGAACGGGCAAGTCGAGCGATATAACCGAACAATCGCCTCGATGCTGCAGAACTACGTGGGTGAACACCAGGACGACTGCGATGTGTACGTGGGGCCGCTTACGTATGCGTACAACTCCCACGTACATCGCACCACACGCACCACGCCGTTTGAGCTCGTGCTCAGCAGGCCACCGCCGGAGTTCTCTCTCCGACGGGAGGACGGCGACGCGCCCCCTTCCGATAGAGGGAACCAACGTGCCAAGTTCCTCAAGACCTTGGACTCGACTATCCAAAAGGCCTACGAGAGCCTGCGTCAGACGCAGGCTCGCTACAAGCGCGACTTCGATAAGCGCATACGACGTATTAATTCCCGGCTCCGTCCCGGAGAATACGTATATCTCAACCCCACCGATGGGGCTAGGACGTCGAACAAGCTCGCCTCGCCCGCTGTCGGACCCTACCGCGTGCTCGCCAATGACCGCCGAACCATCACGATCGATCGTGATGGGGTCACCGAGCGAGTCTCCGCCGACCGCTGCGTGTACGCGCCGTCTCCGATAAACGCGCCACGAGCAAGTACGACGACCCCGCGGGACCTCGCCGATAAGGTCACCGCGGGAACGCAGTATGCCGTCGAACGACTACTGAGAAATCGAGTCATAGAAGACGGAACTACGGAGTTCCTCATCAAGTGGGCGGATTACGACGCGCCCACTTGGACGGCGCGGACTCGCGTCCCGGAGGAGTTGGTGTCTCGTTACGCCCAACGCCTCCGGAGACGTACCGGCAGGAACCTCACCCAAACCGTGAACGCGGACGTTCACGCTTAAGGGGGGGGCCCTCAACCGCTCCTTTGCGGATTAACCCCAGCCTGCACGAACAGACTAAAAGGGGAAGCGAAGGAGGTCGGCGGACCCTATCGGAGGTTCACAGCCGGGGACGCGTTCAAGTCAAGTCGTCTTGACTTCTCGGACGTCAAGGACGCGAGACATAAGAACAGGACAGTACGAACTGCCTGAAAAAAAAAGGTTGGGCCCTCGTAATGACCGACATGACGAGGACTGCAATACCCCGTTCGGATCGGAAAAGTCGGACGACACCCCCCCGAACAGGATTGCCGGACGATCCGTTAAGTCCAGCCACCACGGCGAGGAGGGGCGCCCGACGAATGAGGCGATCAGCGGTGGAATTACGAGAGCCCCTCGGTGGGCAGAGTAAGCGACCAGAATGCTTGTTGTTTGTGTCTCGGAATATCCGAGAAGGTTCGGGCTCACTTCGAGCCCTCAGTCCGCATCCGGGTCCGATAACCCGACGGACGGCGTGGTCATGACCCTATCGATAGGGGTCGTGCGCGAGGAAATGCGCAAAAGGCGTTTTCAGATGAGCAGGCGAGTGAGGCTGCGTTCGCCTCAACAGTCGCCAGGATAGTTAAGGAAGGGGCGTAAGCGCGAGAGCAACTCGGTCGGAGGGGCAACAATATATGCACACACACGTGTACTGTCAGCCCCAATTAGAACTTTTTGTCGCTAATCACGGCGTATGCCATGATTTAATTTTGGGAAGATTTCTTCCTCAGACGACAGCGCACCAATCAGGAACCGTGCTCTGATTTTTTGGCAGAAATTGTTTTCGCGGGAAATTAGGACAATTTTTGGGATGATTTTCTGATTGCGCGGCGGACGGAAAAAGGTCGCAGTACACGTGTACTACGAGAAAAAGTCGCAATCCACGGCGCTGCGCCCTCGCCGCGATGGCGAGGGGCGCGTGGACAAGGAGAATACCGCGAGGCGCGCCCTCGCCGCGATGGCGAGGGGCGCATGGACGAGGAGAATACTGTGCGCTGCGCCCTCGCCGCAATGGCGAGGGGCGCGTGGACGAGGAGAATACCGCGCGCTGTGCCCTCGCCCCGATGGCGAGGGGCGCGTGGAAGAGGAGAATACTGCACCCTCTGCCCTCGCCCCGATTGCCTTAGGGGGGGCGACGAAGATGACACCCGCGTGGGACCTTGCCTCGGTGGAACCGGAGTGCGAGGAGCGCAGGAAAAAGTTGTCGGGGAGCGCCGCGGGCCGAGCTTGCGAGGCCCAGGCGCTTCTACGCGGACTTTTCCGCCGCACCACAGCGCAGAGTGGGCGCGCCGCGCCCTCGCTATCGGGGGCGAGGGCTGATAAGGATAAGGACCGTCGTCACGCGTCGTCGCGCGCCGCGCCCTCGCCACGGACAGCGAAGGCCGGCAAGTCTACAGTACGGGGGGCGGTACCGACTGCCACCGCCCGGGCACAGGCTCCGGAGCGCCCCCGCTCGCGCCGGTATAATGCTGCAAACCGTGCGGCGGAAGCCGATGGCGCGCCCGCCACAAAGGCGAGGTACGCCAGATACGGACTTCGCCTCTTCGCGCTCTGGCCTCGACGGCGAGCGGCAAGAAGAAGGGTAGCGAACGACTACGCGTCCGCGCACTTCCCCGATGGCGAGTGGCGCCGCCAGTGAGGCGACCGTCGCGAGCGCAATTGTGAATGCCGATCATACACCGGACGGACCTCCGCGCATCGGACGCTGCGGTCATACGAGAGGAGCCGTTCACTCTCGCGCCTCCCGTTGCTCTACGAAGAGAGCCATGTTCGAACAGCATGATGGGCACGCAGAGTGACGACCGCCGGCAACCGCGAGGAGAGAGGCGCGACCCGTAAAGGCGCCGCACGAAGCGCCTTGTACGGGATCGTCGCCCCGGACAGGGGGGCAGCGACGGTAGATGAGGGTGAAATGGAGGAAAATACTCCCCCCCCCCACGAAGCGGGTGAAGGGGAGTATGAGCGGTGCTCCTCGACGGGGACCGGGTAAAACGAACAAGAGCATTCTCTACGAACCCAAGGCCGCATTGACCGCCCCGGGCGACGGAGGGGGGCCTGGTCATAACAACGACACGTGAGACAGGGGCGATGAACACCACGAGTACAGTACCCACACCGGGGAAGCCGTCCGCAAAGAGGGGTCAGAAACGCAGCAGGGCTCAGAGATCACGCAACGCAGCGTTACGGAACCGGGCGCGCAGCGAGGAAGGACGCCAAATGCCGGGCGAGGGATGAGGGAGGAGAACAGCCAACGGAAGGGGTGAACAAGAACGGAGAGCACGACGCACGAGGAAGTGAGGAACGAACGCAGGAGGGGGGCGATAGGGAAACGAGGATGGAGTCTGGGAAGGAAGCACGAGTCACCCTACAAGCACATGTGAACGCGGACGTTCACACTTGTGGGGGGGGCCGTGTAGTATAACCCCCCCCTGGGGGCTTTTTAGTTAGATTGAATCAACAACAGGATCCCCTACTGTAGAGCTCGACGCTCTACAGTACAACCGCGCGTGTCCACGTGTACACCACGGGGACAAGGGACACGCGCATACACGTGCACAAGTGTACCACGCGCGAACGAAGCGCGCACGCACCACGGGTAATACGTGTACTGTCAGCCTCGACATAGCTGACAGTATTACAGTGCAGGCCGACCTGCACTACAGTAGCCCACTACAGTACCTCGGTACTGTAGTGTTATGATAGATTGTTTTGTATATTATATATGGGGCGGACCGGCGGCGGTGGAGGAGGACAAGCACGGACTTGTCACCCACCGACCGTCAAGGTCCGACTTCCCGCTTATTCTAAGGTAACGTTCGCTAATTACCTTAGAAGCACCACCGAGTGCG